CAAACTGCATATAAAAATTCAGTTTATCCCACCTTCTATCACGGAACGAGACAATTTGAAAGCTGAACTAACAACAGACACATTTAAAAACTTGAGGTAATTGTTGACACAGGTACCTACTGTAATTGTCTTTTAATCTAGGGATGAAGCCAAAAGGAAATTATTGAAAACACAAAAACAGACAGATGTGCAAAGAACGTTGTTAGCTGTAGAAACAGGAAATTGATATCGAAAGCTGTAAGACAGCTGCACAGATCTGCTCAGAGAACGGATTCATGCACGTAGGAAGAACAACAAAGCAAATTCCTTGAGGATTTTGTATTTCACTTTAGATGTTAAAATGTTTAAAATACAGGAGGTCAGAAGCTGAAAGCTAATTTCAGTTTTACCTCCAAAAAGACATTAAGAAAAATCTCCCACTTCATCAAGGAGGAAAAACTTTGAAATTATCATCTTAAATTTATAAAATTGCTATATTATAATTTTCTCATCCATCCATTTATTCAGATATATATGCCTGGGCAAATTTCTTTGCTTGCATTAAAAAAATCCAGGAAAAACAATAGCTTTTTTTTCAGATGTTCTGAGTTCATCTTCCTGGATTAAGCATGATGCAGCATGGTTGGGAAATTTCTGACTTTTGGACAGTGAAGACACTGATCACATATCTTGCTATACAAAAACACACCATCTTGATCATCAGAGGTATTTGCTTTTGAAGTGCAGATGTTGAACTCTGCTAGATGATCACAACCCATGTGACTCAGGTGGTGGTAACTCCCTACGTGGGCAGGGACAGTGGTCATCCTTTGTCACCCAAGGTGGTCTCCAGTGTAAGATTCTGCAAACCTTGCCTATTCTTGACCCATCCCTCTGATGTGCTGGGAAGCAGACATAAATGAAGTCATACCCCCACTTTCTATTTTAAGATGCCAAAACACAGTTAATGAAATTTTAAACAGCACTGTAAAAAAAGTGCAAAACATTGTGAGCAGTTTTTGAGCCTGAAATGGATTATGATCAGAATGTATCTGATGAACTTTCTCTCCTTTGAGTTAAAAGCCCAGTGAGAACACTTGCTATGTTTTCTGTTACATTTCTTCTTCCTTAGAACTACATCATGAATGAACAGAAAAAATTACCTCAAAGCACATACCACTATATTTTTCACAGTAAGACAGAAAAGGAAAAGAAGGAACATAGTTAATAAAAAATCCTTAATAAAAGTGCAACCTAATCAAAGGTACTGTTGGTTCATCACCTATTACTTCTGCTTATGAGACCTCAAAGTAGACATGATTTAAAACAGAAGCAGCACAACAGAAAGAATAAATCACAGAAGTACAATATATTTGCTATGGACTACTCTACAATGCGTAGTTAAATAGCAAGCAAAGAGAAAAATTCATCCTGCCATCCAAAAGTCTGCTCTTCAAAATATATTTTATACACTACATGCATACACATCTATCAATATAATCAGCAAAAAAAGCTATGCGGTTTTTTAATATTTTAAATTGCAAGGAAATGATTTTTAAAATGTAAATATTTATATATATACACATACATATCTCTACTTGTATATAAATGTTTTTTCTAGATTATTTATCATTACATTAATACATTTAACTGAAGAATTGCATGCTGACCTAAGACATCTTATAGAATTGCAGATTTGGAAACTAATTCACAGGTACTCTCCAGTTTGAGTTTTGGAATTTTGTTAAAGATGCAGAAACTGAGAAACAAAAGATACTAACGAAAGATGGAAACGTAACCACGTGCTGTCTGAGGGATTTGCCATCGATTCTCACGCAGGTGTATGCGACAGCAAGTGCCGTCCGTACTCGGCAAGCGGATGAAGACTGCCAGATCACCGGCTCACCACATTTTCACCTTGCTGGGGTGAAGACGTAAGACATGCTGCGATGAAGAGAGCAGACAGCAAGGTCTAGCTTCTTTAGTTAGGCTGAGTCCAGGAATCTGCTCACAGCGCGCTCAGCAGGCAGGGACAGAAGCGAGCCACAAACACCACTGCAGCTGCTCTTCTTTTAAGCTCCTGATTGAAGGAGCAGAACTATCACTGGCAGCCAGCCTACATAACTCCAGTGTTTCAAGCACTTGTTTGAGGAACAGAAGATCTAGATTTTATTTTTTTTTACCTTTCTGCAAATTCCATCAGCAACATCCCAGAAAAAACCACCACTGATGGAAAAGAACAATTAACTGTGGTGGGGGTTAAAAAAGGCACTATTCATGTATTTCATTGAATTTAAAAGCACTGTGCAAAAATGAATCAGGTTCATAGGGCCAGAAGGACTGGTTGAGTTATGGAGACCTGGGTTCTCATTCCTATTCCCAGATCTGTTTCTGTGTCAAGATTTTTTTAATCTAACAATGATTCAGCATCAAAACTAGAAAGATTTCTAGAAAGTGAGGACCAAACTGTTCTGTTAGTTGAAAGGAGCCAAGGTAATTCAATGTTCTTTTATAAAACAGACTCTCATCCCCTGATCCCTCTGGAATTTTCTCTGCTTTTGTTCCAGATTCAATAAATCTTTCTTGAACACAAGAGGCCCTTTCCAAATTCCAACTTGGTTTTACACTTCTGCTAGTTTGTTCCTTTATTTCCTCAAGGTTTCTCTCCAAGACTTCAGAGACATAAGCCAAGGAGCCAGCAAAGCCCACCACAGCTAATCCATCCTGCTAGTGCAAGGGAGCAACTCTGCAACTCTCCAGCCAAGTTTTCTCCCTTTTGGTATCACGTTATTATGAAGGCTACAAGCACTAGTACATTCCTAAAACATCTTTACTTTTTTCCAACAAATTCGGTGAATACTCATGTGCTCACAATACCTTTGCATCACTTTTCTTCCACAGGAATCCCTTACCTTGAGCAATTCAACCCAGAAGGGATTTCCCTCCTCAGCTGGCTCTGGAACAGGTTTTGTAATGCCAAAGACCAGCAACATGGGAAATAACACTTGACCATAATGTCAAATACCAGACGATCACTAGTAGGGAGTGATTCCAGCGTTACTCAAGAACCGAATGTGTGGGGAACATGAATGTTGCTCTCACCTTCCTCTCGGTAAGTCTGCATCATCCTTCCTCCACCGGACCGTGGGTGTGGGGTCCCCCTGCACCTGGCACCGGAAATCCACAGCCTCCTCCTCCAGCACCACTTGGTTGATCGGTCGCCTGAGAAACGTGGGCCGTTCTTGAAAGAGACATTAAAATTCCGTAGTGAGTCAGAGGGTTGAAATGAACGCTTTTCACTTTTCAGCATCTTTTTGTTTACAGATTCACAAAAGGAAGAAAGAAGCCTGAGCTCCACAAATTCAGACAAGCAGGACTGATGATGTGTATAAAAAGCCCAGAAGATGACCGACCACCAGGTTGGAGAGGCGAGGGCTGCCCAAGAGCTGAGTGCCACCAGAAGGAAGCCTATGACTGCCCACCTGCCACCCCAGTGGAGAAGGCTCCAAGGCCCTTCCCCTCCATGGGAAGGTTTTGCCTCTGCATGGCTGCAAACACAGAGCGTGATCTGAAAGCTCCTGCCTGCTCTAGCGATACAGGAGCTGCCGATGGAGACAGAGAGCCTGCCTTTGGCAATAATCAATGTCTCCATGCTTTGGAGGGAAATGTAAACTCTGTGTTACACATCTCGGGCAATTGTGGACTACTGTACAGAGGTCAGAGCTTCCCCAGTCCCCATCACTAACTTCACCATGGAAAACTAAATTAAGGTCTGAATAATAAGTGCTGTTTACCCTTGTTATGTTAGCCTGCACAGCTACAAATATTATTAATCATCATAATACTGTACAGGCCTGCTTAAAATCCAGATGCAGAGCCACAATCTGATCTCAGTTACACTGGTACAAACTCAAAGCACCGGTAATTTCATTTGAAAGGATGTCACTGGGCTTAGTTTCCAAGTTGCCTTTGGATTGTATAAATTTTGTTCTGTCCTCACCATACCACACTTTCACGGTCATCAATTATTTATACTAGAGTCAAATCATTATGAGAGTGGTTTTATATGAAGCAGTATTTCCACTCAAGACAGGGATTTATTATAAAGACATTTTAAACTGGTTACACACTACGTTTCACATTTCATTCTCGGCAAGTTGAAGGCTATGATGTCACTTCAAAAATTATTCAAAATTCACACAGATGTAAGCAATACCAGGTTCTGACTCAGGCACTTTGTCTTGATAACTACACAGCTGAGTTTATGGGTCAGCTATCCATGTTTATTATTTCCAAGTAATTAAAAAAAAATAAAAAAACATTAATAAGATTGCAAAACCAAGCACATAGCACCCCAGTGTAAGAACTAAGGCTGTCTGTGTGCCCTTTAATCACTCCCTTTCTATTTATGCCTTATGGGACTAGTTGTAATTATATGATCACGTACTATTTTTTCCCCAAACATCTCCAGATTGTTGGTATTCATTTAATGAGCAGGTGTTTAATATTTTGCTTTAGTTGTACTGTTTAGTGGGTGGCCTCCTGTCATACTACTCAAACTTCACTTCAAAGGTGGAATTATTAATTTCCTCATGACCTCCATTACACCTATCTTACTGCTTCATAAACAATTCACTTATTTTCATAGCTCCTCTCTGAAGTGCGATGGAGATTTAAGAAAGCAAAGTAAAAAAATCTGCTAAATTTTGATGCTCAACCTGAGACACAAAATTGCCTTTTTTTTTTTTTGAGAATTTAGCATTAATTTTGTGTGTTCAAAGCTTCACTGAGTTCAGTTGATGCCAGTAAAATGTTCACCACTTTTACAAATCGGAATATTAAGTCAGAAAATAAGGAAAACAAAACCACCTGTTAATAATTATGTAAATGAGTGACAGCATCACATAGGAATTCCACAATACTAGCAGGGGGACCTATTGGCAAGGAAAAACATACTTTGTCAGCAGAAGAATAGACATGCTCATGAATCTGGAGCACTTTTCCAGATGCTAGAGATAAAAACATGTCTCATGGGCAGAGATTCTTCTCTCCATTTCTCCCAAGCCATTGCTTTTGTCCTATTCCTAGTCCTGCCTGGGATCTGCAGGTTCCAGCAGCATTTGGGCAAGTAATTTCAGTTCTAGTTTCCCTCTGCATCTTGAAATATCAGTCTTTATTCCCTCTTTCAAAACAAGAGAGATTGGTTGAAGCAACCAAACATCATCCCAGGAGAGTGACAGCAGCGGGAGTGCTGTGCAGCTGCAGGAAAATGCTCTTCAAACCTGCGCTCTACCTGGTGTCTCTGGTGCAGGAATTGATGACTGAGAGGTGCAAAACTGGCTAAATTTAATGAAAATTATTTGAACAAGCAAAAAAATTACACCTCTGGCATGGTATAGCTATTTCCCATCACATTTTAGGCCCCTGTTATTCAATATGAGGGACTTGTATTTCTCAGGACAAAAAGCTTCCTCTATTCATCTCCTTAAAATCCTTCCTCATTTTCCTTCAATCACCCCTTTCACCTCCAAACTCCAGGAACTTCAACATTTTTACAAAAGAATGAATTATTTTGTTGCAATTAAAAAAAAAAAAAAAAGAAAAAAGAATCAGTTTTCCAATCAGGCATGGAAAATTTTGGATAAAGCCTTTTAGTTTGACAATCTTATTAAAACTGGACAAAGTACCAAAAGCATTAGTTGTTAACTTCCATGCTAAGCAATGCTCTTGGCCTGTCTGGAATTATGTGGGTCGAGAAGGCAATGTCTTAATGAAACTTCCTGTAAGCTTGCAAGTGTCTTATCCACAACGTCCCTCCTAAGAGAGCTCAGACCAACTCCTGCTCTGAGCTCATGCACAATACACTCTATATTTTGGTATTTGTTTGTCAGAAGATGATCCTAAACCATGAAATTTAGATCCAGATCAGCATCCTCACAGGTGATTTAGAGACCTTGGTTCATCCACATTGAATTTAAATAACTCTGCATGTGCCTGCATGTTGGCTGGGTCTGCATACAAAAATTAGTTTAGCTCATGTTTATAAAAGCTGCCTGTAAGCAGCTAAGAAACTAATGCGTGCACATTTATGAAATTGTTACTTGTGGCCATATATGCTTCTGTCCAGGAGATGATATCACATTTTGAGGAGAACTTGGCTGATGAGACAGTAAATGGCCCAAAGGTCATTAGGTATATCACTTGATTCCACATCAAGGCAATTAAGGAGTACGCATACATGTTGGTTTCAGATCAGCTTCTCAAATTGTGTATTTTCCAGAACAGTTAGGAATTTGCTAGAAAATAAACAGCTATGTAAGTCCAGATCTCAGTCAGTAAGGACATGTAAGTACCAGGAACTGCTATTTCCATTTTTCCATCATCTCTGCGTTTCGCACAGCGTGACTCAGGAAAGAACAAGTTACCTCTCACGTTGCTTCCTGTGTTTGTATCGCTCAGACAACCCCTTGAATATGTCCAATAGCTAATTATATAGCTATAAAGTGATCAGAGTGAATGCCATTGCCAATGCAATTAACATTCTTCATGTAAGATTAACTGGATTTGAGTCACCTGCATAACTTGCTTACAATGTTAATCTCTCAGGAGACGGAGCGCTGCTTGCCCAAGCATGCTAAATAAAGAAGGTTTCTTCACACAGCCAGGTCAAATTTAGTTTCAGAGCTAAACCTGAGAAAAAAATCTTTTTACTTTTTTTCTTCTGAAATAGCTTGCCTATAAATAAAGCTTTGTGGTATAATTAAACATTGTTACTCTGTCAACAGCATTCAGAACACAATATATTTGAGGAACAACAAGAAAGGGTAATAAATTAAAATCATAGACATATATAAAAATTTTAATATAGCTATTTTATAAGCTTCACTGAGTAAATAAAGTACCCACTTCCCAGACTTTCTCTAATGAATATTAAAAATCTTTGAAGACAACCATAAAATAGGTCATGGTTATATGCCATGTCAACCAGTCGCGCTATCACTAGGGTGACCTTTACAACTTCAGAATAAACTTTGCTGGCAGTTATAAAAGGGGATTGTTAATGCAACCTGGACACACACCTACAATGTGCTGCAGTGCTCGAGATGTGCGCTGCAAGAAAACCTACAGAGCTGACCCTAACCAGAAACATCACAAAATCCTCCCCTCGCTTTGGGTGCTGACACAAGCTAACCCCAGAACTCAATTTTTCCTCTATTTAACAATTGGCCTGAGTATCACAGTCTATTAGAGAGACTCAGATGACCTTCAGATGTACTATTGCCCTTTCTCTGTTCCTCAAAAATTCAGACCGCCATATATGGGACCTCAATCTAATTAAAATGATCCTAACTACCTTAATATATTTTCTCTACCGAGGCAACTGCTAAAGTGAAGGATGTGATGGTCGCCACAATGTAGAGGCTCAATCTGATTTAGAGTTGTTTTCTCTGTCTTTGCTGGAGAGAAGGCATCATTTTTTAAAATGTTTTTGTATTCCACTATGAAGTATTAAAACATGAATTAAGAGGCTTTGGGGAGGGATTTAATAGCAAATAGTTAAAAATAAAAGCTTTTTTTCACTTTAGTGTTCTGATATAAAGAGATAAAAAAAGAAACAATAGGTGGTTGGAAGTAAGTTTCACTTCAGAATGCTGTCAATAGCGTAGATATGTCATTAACTGCAACATGATCTGGATAACGTAAAGCTCCCTGCCAAAAATGAAGATGTGGAAGAAGACAGGATATTAGGATCACACTAAATTTACCTATGTTGGCCAAAAAACCCAAAAATACAATTGCAAAAGCATCTGGTTTTATATTTAAAGACATTCTTCTACTGCCTCTTTTCCATTTGTCATTTGAGAAACAAGCACTTGTGTGGACACTGCAAACCCCTGCACTCTATCAGTACCCAGGCTGCGGTGAGCTCGCACAGGGAAGGCACGGAGCACCGGTAAGAGGCACACGCAAATAAAGCAGAATGGTTTTTATCCATTGTTAGTGTTTTTCTGCTTTTATATACATCGAAAATCACGTTAATTTCAGTTTTTACTGAGCATTAGATATGGACTTTGGAGACCAAATCAGACCCTTTTCACAGCAGTGTCATTATCCTGTCACAACTTGTCAGTGTCTGTGGATAACAAATGCTGCAAAGCCAAAGTGCCACCAGCACACTGCAAGTGGGACACACGAGGTTTGGAGGGAACCAGGAGGAGCTTTGCTCTGAAGGACAAAACTGCCCATTTCTTTGTCTCGAACCGTGAACGTACACCCGATTTTGGCAGGTTTTCCATGTGGCTGGGAAAGCTTCTGGGACTAATTTCCAGGATGTGATGGGACAAGACTCTCTGCTAAGACCTTCCACATAGTCAGAGCTCAGGAAAGTAAAATGGGGCACAATGTCTTCATTAAGAGATTTCTGGATTATTTTCCTCCAACATCATGCCACCATAGTAACCTCTTTCTGGAACTATGGTATCTCTTCCAGCCTAACAATGTCTAAAGAACATCAAACACAAATATTTCTTCAAGCATCAGACAAAAAATACCTCTTCATCCCACAGGACCTTATTAGCTGAAGAAAGATTCGGGTACCAAAGCTAAAATCAAAGATTAATCCAAAACAATCTTTAATATGTCTGAATTGACATATCCTTTAAGACACTTTTGTACTTTTCTTAGTTATGCTTTATATTCTTTTGAGGCTTTTCTAAATATATCTCCTTCCACTGCTTGATGCCAGCCTCTTGAAGTGGATATATTAAGGCTTTCATTGATTCCACTGAACTTCAAAATCAATATACAAGATATACCTTTGTACATTCTCTTCAAATGTACCATTTTAAGTCCAAAGGAACAAAAAGGAGTCTGAAATAGTTAAAACAACTTGAAAACTTATCTGAGAGCAGTGCAGTAGTATGACAAAATGATGAAAGGTTAAACAGTCATTCTTACTTGATTCAATTTCTGGCTCCATATTATGTATTTACAAACCAAGCTTTGTTACAAATTGGAATGAAGCTGTTTCTGTTTTGCATCTTGCTTTAATTCTGTTCAGCCAAATGCCATGAGCCCAAAGGCAAGCAAAGCAGCCTCATTTGTATCACTTACACGTCGAGATTCGGCCTTTGGAATCGTGTGTCCATAACAGCAAAGTCCCTTGCTGCCTCTCTGTGTGACCGTTAGGATTGATGGATTAGTTATTCCTTTACAGGCCAACTAAGAGTCTGTGACACACCCTGTTTGATTACTTTACTCCAAGATTACACCTTGGAGCCTCATAAGGGTAAAAACTAGCAGCAGTACTTGAAAGAGAAGACTAACAGAAGGTAGTGAGTGCATCCTTGTCCCTGTAACACAGGGATCATTTTGGGATGCACTGCTTCTATAATCAGTTTGCTTTATGATCTTTTACTGCAAAAGTCTGGCAATTCTCTGCTAGTAAAAGAATCATGATTTGGGAACAAAAGAAATGCAACTGGCACCACCACTAACAGTATGCTTTTAGAAGTGCCTAAATGTTGAAAACTAGGATTCCTATGCAGACGGGGTTGAAAAAAATTATTTGTTTGGTGAAAATCCTACATGTATTATCCACAACTACCTCTCAGCAAAGGTTATTGAATGGGTACCCAGCCAAGTGGATACATCCTGCATATGGGAAACTTCCACCTTCTCCTCCTACTTCTTTCCAAGGTTTTTATTTTATTTTATTTTATTTTATTATTTATTTTTTTTTTATTTTATTTTATTTCATACCTTTTTAAACTCAGGCAAGGTGTAATCTTTTAGGCTAGGCTTCCATGCTGTTCCCCTCGGGCCACCAGTTACCAGCACACTGACTCAGTTTTTCCAGAGGCAATGCCTCAAGCTAAATTTACCATACATGAAGCCAGAGATCTGTCACGAGTCATATGCAGAAATTAACTTCAGGTATTACAGAAAAACTTGCAAAGCCAAAAGTAACAAGTGGCTGATTCCTGGAAAGGTTTGAGAACTAGTATGAAACAGTTCCTTTTCCCTTTTCCTGCAGAGGAGTCTGTTTACTAAGGCCCCTTTCACACTAGGGAAGGGGTTTGGGGATTTGTTATTTGGAAAAGGAATAGAGACAGTAATAATCAGCTAATTAATACACATTCCTCTCCAGAATCAGCACCAGCTGCAGGCTTGCCAGCCACTTTATTAAATTTTCTAAGTCTCTTAGCTAAGAAACAGAATCATAGAATCATTAAGGTTGGAAAAGACCTCTAAGACCATCAAGTCCAACCATCAACCCAACAAAGCCCATTTTCAAATATGTTCAAAACAGTTAAATTTGGGCACATGAATAATATATAAGTACTATGATATTCTTAACACATTTTTCTCAACATTTGCACTATTCCCATGTTCCTCAAACCTGTGAGTCATATTAGAGGAAGGCTGTGGACTTCAACAGGAGTCCAGGGATGGGACACAACCCTTCTGCTGTGGAGGGCAAAGTCAGGCCACCACCTTTTGCACAGAAAGGACCAGGACTGACCTGGTCACGTCTGTGCAGTGAGCCCAATACACCAGCACAGAGCTTCAGGGCCAAGTGACAGCCAGGAAATTGGCACAGGACAGTCACGGAATCATCTTGTCAACCAGCAGATCATAACCTGAGCGCCTGCTTCCTGCATGCTGTTCTTGTACAGCACAAGGGAAGACAGGAAGGGAATACTTAGACAGAAGGGGTATTTTAGAAAGAAAGGGACCCAGGTAGGAAAGGAAGTTTAAATACAATTTTCTTTTGGTAGTCTAACACAATTATGAAGAATTAAAATATCTAATTTCATGTATTGCTGATTTTGTTCACAATATATGCTTAGATTGTATTTTACAAGTTGATTGCTATGATTAAATCCTGTAAGAGAAATCAGAGTATTGTAATTGGCTATGTAATATTTTATGTATCAGGACAAAGCTAATACTTTTCAGAGCTCTGCAGGATATGAAATCACATGAATATTTCAGTTTTTATTCCTACAGTTCAATGCTTTTTAACAAATTATTTTCTTAAGGATTTCTTAAGGCTTTGTAGTTTAGGACTGCAATCTGCTTGCTATCCACAGGGAGTACTACCAGAGATTATCAGTACTTACACTGATGAAGAAGATCTGTCATGTCTCTTTTACATTTGTATAAAGGCACAACTTCAAGAGATTGGCTGCAAAGAACATCAGAATTTGACAGAGATCCTTTCAGTGGGTTTTTTTGCAAGCTAAACTAGTCCTGTCTTTAAAAGTAATATGCTTCCATGAATCCAAAACAAAGTAGAGTAGAAGCCTTGACAGTCCTAGAACGCTGGAAAGCAGCAAATCCTCAGTCACTCGTGGATCCTGTCTAGTAGAAACTTTTCTACGTCTTTTGTGAATCCCATAACATGTTTTTTTTTAAATGGACAAACAAGTATTGAATTGCATAGACATGCAAACACAGATGGCAATACATGCGACTGGGTTTTCCAGTGCACCATATTAGGCAGAAGGTGAAAAAATTGGGAGCACCTGCTTCAGAAAGGACATTAGGATTTCTAGGGAAGGTCTTACTAGAATTACAAGCAGTCTTGTTTGTAATTTTAGTCCTGAATCAAGAATATCGAGGAGGTGTAGCAGGAGGGAACATAAACACTATTTCTCTTTCTCTTCTGTATGTGTGCATGTGTTTTCTTTAGCAGTGAGGGTTTTTTCCCTTATTGATTTTCTTTTGTTTGCTCAAGACATCTTGACTAATTCCTACAAAACCACAGCTAATGCTAAATAGAAATGTCAGGACTGCAGGATGTACCACTGCAGGATGTACCACAGCAGGATTTTCTGGCTGTTTATCCAGTTGTTAGCAGGATGGATTCAGCTCTAGGTTCAGTATTACTCTATTCTTGCTCTAGACCCTAACCATGGGGCTAATGTTCCTAACTTCTTGTCTTGCCCATCAGGTCTGGAAGCTCTTTCAAACAGAAAACCTACCCATTTTTTATGCATTCAGCAACACCAAAAAACTGAAAAGGTGCCCTGCCTTACAGGATGAAAAGCTGCTTCACACCCTTTAAAAAACAAATGACAAAAGCATCTCTATGTATTCAAAACGTTTGTCTCAGGATTTTCTCCAATGACTTTTTACTGATCAACTGAACTTTTCTATGCTCTCCTACAAAGTTTTGATTTCAAAATCCCACAGGAATAAGGAATTATTTAAACAGGCAATGCTGGTCCAAATCTTTGTTAGGCAGGCACTGTCAACTGTATTAGAAGTGGATTAACTATGTCTGGCAATTTTGTGAGGGAGAGCATTATGTTCTGCATTACCATCTCTAACTGTATGCATTTTACTAAGGATCTCCAGTTAGATTGAAACTATACACTTAGAAGGAAAATGTTCAGCCATCACAGCTCCATAATTATAAACTGCAGCCTCTGAAACCTGGTCTTCATCAGAAACTGTGAAAGGCATCTTAAGCAGTACTACTGTGTTTGGTTAACCTTGTTTGGATGAGTCACACCAGTCAATGCACTTTATGACAGTTGTAGTGAGAAGGAAACAAAAACTCGAGTCGCTTTACCAAAGACAGTCAGCTCTGCCGGGTCGCTGTCTCGCTCCCCCACCATGTTGGTTCCAACACAAGTGTACATGCCCGCATCACTCTTTCTTGTGTTGGAGATCATCAGCTTCCCACCACGTATCTGGTTCAAAACAAGGAATATATATTTAACTCCAGACAAACAAAAGATCAGAGAAAAGCTACCTTCTTGGGTAGCAAGTTCCACAACTAAGGCATTTAAAAGTTTTGTTTGTAAATACATATATAGCTTAAAAATTATAATCCTATATACTTAAATATCTTCAAGCTGCTCTAGAACACATTTTATCCTACTGACTGACTGGTTTTAAGTGCATTTCAGTTTTTCCTTCAGTTTTCACTACATGCTTTACATTTCAAAGACTACATTTCTTGCTACCTCTTTGGCAATGCAGAGTGCTTGTATTTCTTGCATGATGATAAGTAAAAGGCAATTTTATTTAGTTTTATTTAGCTCATTTTGTTTTACTGGTGTCTGAAGAGTTTCCTTGTTCACTAATTAAGACAGATTTTCTCTTTTCCTTGATGCAAACTGAATGTATCCCAAACTGAGAATTCACCTGATTCCCACAAGACTTAACATTTTCCTGGCTACAAAGAGTGCTCATAGAGTGAAAGAGCAGGGTAGTTGAAAGAAATAAAGTAACAAGTTTGCAGCTTGTGAAGTCACAGGCAGTGTCAAAAATCAGACAATGGGGTGCTTCAGAATAAGCTAGGAATACAGCCAAAGAAACTTGAGAGTCAGGGAATGATAACCAGCTCCCTGTCACTCTTCCTTCCTTTACTCTTCAGTAGACCCTAGCCTGGCCCATAAATAGCAACCACTTCAGACTGTATTGCTTGAAATACTTCCTTAGGCATCCAAAGCAACAAACAAGCTTCCTGACAGCACTTCCATATGGAATAAGGTCAGCACTGAGTTACATATCATTACATACAGCATAAAACTTTATTGAAGGAATATTAACAGTGAAAAGCTAAGCCTTTAAAAATGACAAATGAAATATGTCCCTACACCCTTGGTTTGTCATATTGGCTTGCACATACCACAATATCATTTCTAATCACTTGATAAGTCAGGTATTTCTGTTGGATCCTTTTTCAGTCAGTATGTGGAATGAACTGTCACAGAATTCAATCGGTGTTACTGATTTACTCAGTATGTATTCTGATTCAGGAACAATCATTCTTCAGAGTATAGCTTCAGCCTTTATTTAGAAACACATCTCAATTACTACACTAAACACAACATTACCAATGTCATCCTAAACAATTGGGTTTTTTCCCATATTTGTCTATCTCATAGACATGACTGATTTTATCCTTAAAACACCTCTCCGATATAAGATCTGATTTTCTCATTTCACTGAACTGAGACCTCATTTCATTGAACTGGGGTCTAGAACACGTAAGGCCAAACCAAAGACATCCCCTGAGTCTAACAGAGCACCTTACATGCCCAAATCTACAGCTCTCATGGACCGCCGTTACTCTGGTTATGCAAATCAAGCATCAAGAAGTTCAACTTGGAGACCTAAACCAGAAGAAATAAACAACCTTCCTCCCCCACACACATTTGAGAGAGCTCACAGAAACAAACTCCCAAGAGCAATGATGAGTCTCTAGTGGAAAGGCTACAAAGCTGTAAAGTTCTGCTGCACTCAGTTGTGGGGCTTCAACGCAGGCCCAGTGTCTA